AGAATCATACCCCTAGACCAACGAGCCACGTGTTCCAGAAGCGCGCTACAACTTCACTTAATCAATGTAACACTCTGTCTCTGTGTCTACTGGTTATAATGTTTTATATACTGTTTCCATAATCGTTGCAATGCCAGTGTCATTTTTGCCCCGGACTATCGTGGTTGTAGTAACAAGCTTTATTGTGTGGAATGTAGACAGGGCTGTACTCTGGTGTCTTGTACTGTAACTTTAGACGCTACACGCTTGGTTTAATATTTTAATTTAGTTTTCATTACAACAGACTTTATCTAAATTCTATATAAGATGACGAACATACCTGGACGTATGACCTCACCTGACCCAGCACTCTGACGTACAGCGTGCTGAGGTCACGGGTTGGAGGCGGAGTTACCGCCTTCCATCAGGAAACCCATTGTGCCTAATGCAGCTGTCTGTAGTTCAGTTAACGATGTAAACAAACGTTGTTAGACGCTCTGAAACTAGCTAACGTTAGCGACGGAAGTTTGCTAACCATGTTCAAAGCGTTAGTAATTTGCCTTAGCCGTAATTCAAACCAAATTAATATAACTTTAGTTTAATTTCAACTCACGCAATTTAACGGGCGCCGTTTGGTTGTGGTCAGGTAGTAACGTAGTGCTGTCACAGAGGTTGCTAGGTTAGTGGGGAGCTAACTTGAGGCAAGCTAAAAGTGTCCAACCAGTAGGCTGTAAGATATTTACAAGACTTCACATACTGACAGTATGACTTCCAAACAGATGGCGGTGTCTCTGGGATCTCTGCAGAGTCCTGATCTAAGGTAACTGTGGCTGAAGCCAGTGATTAGCTAACTAATAAGAACTCATTTTCTCAATATCACAAGCAACCAGTGATGGTGAGCTCATGCAGAGAGTGGTATTTTAACGGATATAGCAAACATCACTATGTTTTGATATGTTGTAATATGTGTATTGCAGCTCTGTCCTGTCATCATGTGAGCCAGAGCTTCAGGAGCTGATGAGGCAGATTGACATTATGATCAACCATCAGAAGAGAGAGTGGGAGGCGGAGATGCAGACCATGGAGCTGAGGCTGAAAAGTGGGGAAGAGGAGCTGTTGACTTGCAGGAATCTTATTGAACGGAGGGACCTGGAGGTGCAGTAGCAGATCCTTCTTAAACTTTAAGTGAACCAGTGAGGGATCTCTGTTTCTTTGTTGAGGAGAACTTAGAGGGCTAATGTTTTTTGTTGTATGAGTAACAGAGAGAGAGAGATGGAAAACATTTGCAGTCATCCACCATCATTCTTTTCTTGTAATATATTGTTTCGTTGTATTACAGCGTAATGACGACAGTTTGACCACACACACTCTGCATGGCACTTACGTTACTAAATGGTCACATTGATGTTTACCAACATTTTAACATTACCTTTACTGTCATCACCCCTGATTGTAGATCGGATTGCTCCACAAGCAGCTGGAAGAAGTCCAGCCTGGTCGCCAAGAGTTAGTTACCAAGTACGAGCAGCAACTGCACAAAGTCCGGGAAGAGGTGAGACACTTTAGCCAAACAGCCTTTCAATTCAAGTTCCTCAACATATCTTGAAATCCCAGGATGAATTGGTAGTTTACAGATTTGCAGAGCCAAGGTTTACTTTAATTTAATCCTTATTAACCAGTTTAACCTACTAACAAAACCATCTTAGATCTTATTCAACTTACTGAACATGATGATGATTAAAACTTGTTTATCACAAACACTTTTTCCTGCAGTTAGATAAATTAAAGAGAAGTTACCACAAGCTTCAGCGCAAACAGCTCAAGGAGATCCCTGGAGGAGTGAATACTAAAGACATAGACCGCTCAGAGGTGACCCAACTCAATGGGAAGATTGAGGTACGACAACATTAGTACAATTCTTGTTCACTAGTCACCTACAGCTTGCCTTTTACTGCCATCTACTGGTTATGTGGAGTACAATCGTCCTTGTCTCTCCCTGCAGGAATATTACCAGCGTTCTGTAGAGTGGGGGCAGCAACGCAGCCAATACCAAAAACAACTGACAGCGCTGGAGGCCCAAAATAAGAGCCTGACTGATGAGCTCACACACATGAAAGTAAATGCAGATTAATAACCTTATCATGACAGCGCAGCAATGTCAAGTCAGACAGTTTAATGCTAAAACTAAGTGGAGGTTATTTTTCACACATATTCTCTGTCATTTGATTTCCAGACCCAGTGGGAATTGTTGCAGAAGGAGAAGGACCACAGGGAGTGCTGCTTAAAGGTGCAACATCTGTGCACTCAGCTGGAGAAGACTCAGGGCAGCCTGCACTTACAGGAGCTTGAACTGAAACGCCTCAGACCCCTCGAGGTGTGGTTGGGACAGTACCAGAGAGAGCAGCAGGTTAGCAGAATGGTAGGACCATATACGAGCAGGTGCAGATTAAAGACTGGACAAACCACACATGAAGACCGTTTCCAACTATTCGCACACATTCTTTTAGTCTTTAGACAGTCAGGAAGGAGAAATACCTGATGATGGAGTTAATAAACTAGACAACACACTGAAGCACTGGTCAGTAATGACTGGAGTCTGATAGATGACTCAACAAATCCAGCTGGAACACCAAAAAAAACTGAAGCTGTCAGACACACTTTATATGCTGTAACATTGAGCTGAAAGACCAAAAAAAGTGGTAAGCCTTCGATTTAATTTTGTAGAGGTATTCATTCTATTGCCACTGTTCAGTCAGTTTTTCCTCTATTTAAGTTTAAGTCTAGTTCACCCTCACACCACAAACCTTCATGTCTGTTGCAAATATCAAACATGTCTTTATTAGAGTGACTGACAGCGACTCAAGATCCAAATCTTTACATATTACACACTACATGATTTTATCTGCCAAAACCAGCAGACCCAGACTGGAGCAGAACCGGCCTGACGTGGTCCCATCAGTAGTCACGCCCAAATAATATTCATAATTGGCTCAGCAGTTGTAATGTGTGTCCCCCGCTTTGAGGTGATCATGATCATGATAGGACTGTACATTTTCACACAATAATTTTGAAAATAACAGCCTCCCAGCTATTTGAAATTAGTTAATCAAATAAATAAATAATAACAAATGTAATTCCATTGTGAGGAAGAAACCATGAAAATCCTTATCATTGTTGTGTTGTGAAAATCTGTATGTAATTCTCCAAACTATTCCAGTCAGTCCAGCCGGCCCCCTGTGAGTCCTGCTGTTGATGGAGCAGGCAGATATATGGTAGATAGATAAGGTCAAAATTACAGGACTGACTGAGGGTGGCCCCTACAGCACCATCAGATATGAGACAATCCTGATTTGCATTAATCGATGCACCAAATTTAAATAATTTGAACAAAAGCATGGCCTCTGCTCACATGTACAGCCAAGCTCTGCCTGTGTGTTAATCTGCCCCAGTATACAAGCAACAGATGCAAACAGTAGAGTTTTAAATCAATATGGATGGAAATAGGATCTTATGTCAAACAGTAGATTTGTACTGTAGTGTTTGACGTTAGAATATCGCTTCATCAGCTGAGGATTAACTGCTGCTCTACAGGTGCTTACGGAGGAAAGGCAGGAACTACACGCAACCCTGGACTCCCAGGATACATTTGTGCGGAGAGCCAGTCTCGAACGCCAAAGGCTTCGTAATGAAGCTGCCAGACTCAACCAAGTACTGGAAGCTAAAGATCAAGTCATTCGGTGGGTGGATTTCTACCTGTAAATAATGTGTTTTCAGTCATTGTGTTATGATGCAGTACAGCAACAGTACACAAGAGGGCGTTCTATACTGATACTGTAGGCAGGATTCACTGATGAGCAGTTGTAATACAACAGTTCAGTGTGCTGTGTGGAAAGAGTTTTTCTGGAGGTCAGGTAAGCACTATATTGTCTCTTATTTTCTCAGCTCTCTGGAGGAGTGTCTGGTGGCTCAGGGTTGTGCTGGTGTGGAAACCCTCAGACAAAATCTGGAGAAGACTGCAGCCAAACTTCACTGCACCCAAGCATGTGAGGTTCATCTCAAGACAGAACTGGCATGTCTCAAAGAGAGGTGAATGCTGGTCCTCATCTTTATTATTGTGCACATATAACCTTGACATGTGTGCATCTTGAATTTGGAAACCAATATGATGTTGATGTTTTAATGATTTGCTCAGACTGGAGAGGGTGAGCCGACAGAGAGCTGACCAATCAAAGATGGAGGAACTGAGGAGCATTAAAGCAGAATACAATTCCTCTGTTACGGAAGTGAAGAAGGTCAGAAAGCGTCTCTGACTGGTCATGTTGCAGGAGCTTTGAGTTTTTAACGTGCATACTCTATTTGTGTATTAACATCTGTATTGTAACTTCTCTGGCTTCATTGTACAGCTCAGAGAGGAGCTCCAAAGGGCGAAGCAGACTCACAGCGGTGAGGTGGAGGGAATGAGGAAGGAGGTGTCAAAGCTGACCACCGAGCTGCACCAACGCGACGTCACCATCTCCACGCTGAGTGGCTCTTCATCCAGCGTCAAGCAGCAGCTCTGCAGTGAGGTGGAGCGAGCACAACAGAAGGCAGCTGAGCTTAAAGTAAGCACATAAACAGTCGCAGCCCTGTGACGTTATATTTTCATTGCAATTACATATTTGAGTGTTTGATCATCTCAAACTGTCAACTCATTGTGAGTCTTCAGATTGTTTGTACTTTCAGTGGCAGTTTTGAATTTCTTTCAGGTTTTGAAATTACGGTCACAATGAACCTTTGTGAGGAAACAGGAACCTTTTTTTTTTTTTTCATTCAGCCATACAGTAGGTGTGTCTGTTACAGCTTTATTCAGACATGACAGGACTTTCATAAGAAGAGCCATGTTCACACAGTTTGGCATTTAGTGTGGGAGATGGGCAGAGAGAGAGTTACAAAGTAATGATTTGATTGAGGAAGGGTGTTGCTGCATCACTGACTTTAAAACTGCTGTTGAAGCCTAAATGAATGACATCATCAGGACACTCGCCAAGGGCTGTCATGGTCAATCCCTCAATAAACCTTCTCATCAATTTCATCGTTTATTACTTTATTTTGTAATGTCTATTTTACTTTGCTTTTACAAGACCTTAAGAGCGCCGTGTCTCTAGGCACTGTTAGGTTTATGATCAAATGACCAAAAACTAATAACATTCCCATCATCCTCAGCCGTATTTTGTAATGTGTGTGAATGAGCAAGTGTTAGTATGCGGACACAAGAAGCCAAGATAGGGAACATGGTCAATTTACACGTGCTAAACATCAGCATGTTAGCATCTGTGCCTGAGTACAGATTCACAGAGCTGCTAGCATGACTGTGGCCTCCCACACACAGCAAGAGGATTGAATCATTTTAGAGACTGCTCTGTCATGAGAAGAATCTCCTCACCAAATTAAAATTGATTGACTGTCTTTCAAGGTTCATTAAACAGATGTTATTTTCTTTGTACAGTTGTAAGATTTTACTACAGTACTCTTGATAAAAAGAACAAGACTCATTTCTAATCTGTATCTGTGCATCTTTACCTTGTTCTGCGGCTGCTTCCTTTACGTTAACATTAATGCATTCTGTTCATACTTGTTCTGACCCTGTAACATCGCTATCATAACTGTTAACTAAATGTGACTTTTAAATTCAGACATGTTGCTGAGAATAGCTGTGTATAGTCTTGACATGAACTCCTTTTCCCTAAAGGGTTGAGGTGAACTGCATCATGCTCGAGCCTATTTATCTGCTCAGGGGTAAAATAAGTCAAATTTTTCTTTGTCTGTGACTTTCTCAGATGACTCAGGCCCAGCTGGAGACTCTACAAACTGAGAACCAGCAGCTGAAGGGTCTGCTGCAGAAGTTGGAGTCTCAGTCATCTAAGGTTTGTCTGCTTTGACATAGTTGTTATGTAGTCATTACACAGTTTTGCAGACCGCAGCAGACAGGATTCTTGTCTTAATATGGCCTCAGTGCTTGTTTCTAAATCTGACTCATCTCTATCTGCTTTTTACCCCGTGAATCACTTGGGCATCCTCAGAGGGGGGATTCATCGCTTGCATCCCTGAGGGAGAGCTATGTGTCATCTCTGAGCAGCCTGGAACAAGAGAATCGGCAGCTAAGGCAGGCACTTGCTATGATGCACGGCCGACCTGAGATCTCCAACCGGACCTGTCAGGACAAATATGAACAAGCTCTGCTCAGCCTCGCCATGACCGACCAACCACAGCCTGCTCCGGACAGGTACCCGGCATACACACAGACACACACACATCCAACAAAAGATCAAGAAACTGAACCCATATGCCTATTCTTTTATCTGTACCAGTGAAGATAACAGACATCAAAAACGCCAGGAGGATGTGCAGGCAATGAAAGCTAAGCAGCAGGAGAACGCCACTCACTCCGAAGAGGAGATTAAGAGGCTCTTCAAACAGCTGCACAACCTGTCTCATTCCTCTGGGGAGCACTCCTTTAGCCAGGCCCAAGACAGCAGGTCTCATTCATCTGCATCCTCCTGCTCCTCCTCCAGTAGCACAAGACTCACCAGGAGAAACTCGGTGCCAAACCTAAGCTCAAACGAATCTCCTGCTGAGGGACAAAGCTCCATCTCTGAAGACTCTCTGACCTTAGTGTCCAGAGAAAAAATACTCTCTGCCTCTCCAATGGTGAGTCTCGTCACACATAATGATTCAGAGTTGTGGTAAAGGTAATGTTCCATTCCTATACAGTTGTGTGTCTTTCTTCCTCCCTCCCAGGAGTCTTTGTCAGTGTCACCCGCAGACGGCATGGTCTCTCGTTTCCTGGAGGAAGAGAGCTTACGGTCCATGGAGCTGCTCCAGAGGTTGGACATCCACATCGAGGGTATGAGGGAGGACAACACCAAGACAGTGTCCAAGTACCTGCCAAGTGGCTCAGGGTCAGAGTAAGGTGGAATAAATATGACAGAAAGTGCCTTGAACAGCAGTGCCGAAGACTACGTTGTGGTACTTAAGTAGATTGTACACGGTGGAGGCATTTGTGGGGCATTTGGTGTGTGCCTCAGAATTTCCGGTGACCTTTCAACATGTACAGTGCTGTCAGGCCACAGCACTGAGCATAAGCACAAATAAGCACTAGCCCACTCCGTCCCCACAGTGAAAGCCAAGTTACACATATGACAGTCTTATGTAGTTGATTAGCTTAGATTTTTAAAAATGTATTTATTTTATCTGTGTGGCAGCGGAATGTGTTTTCACTAGAGGTACATTTTCGTCCCGTCACGTCAAGATGATCTTAAACGGCAAGCGCTGACAAAGGCTTACTGATTAAACGTTTTGCATCACCTCACGCCTTGTGTTAGAAGCTGCATTTGAACACACCGCAAAGACTGCAGCTGACAAGCCTTCTGTGTCTTCATAAGGCCCTTCTGGGTCAGTAGTCCAAAAAACAAGACAAACAAACTAAACACTGTGTATCTTCAAAACAGTGTCATCATAGGCTGGATAATGTGGTGAGAATACGTGTCTGCATTGTTAGCTTTAGGGCAGCTTTAACAGTTAAAATACAATTTACAGTTTCACAGAGCCCAAACTGACATCTTCAGATATCTTATTTTGTCCAAGCAATAGTTTAAAAGCAAAATACATCCAGTTTGCTATCATTTAAGACAAGAAAAACCTGCAAATCTTCACAGTTGAGAAGCTGGAACCATCTTATGTTTGAAGATTACTCATGATTAATTATCAATGATTCTCAAAATAGCTGCTTTTCTGTAATTTCATGTTCTGTCAATTGACTAATCGGTGAATCAGATAATAGTTTCAGCTCTAGTCAGCTTGTGGGAAAAGACCAAAGGTAGAAAGGCCAAAAGAAGGGAGAACTGCTAAATGCGTGAATTAGGTATCACCGACAGCCTCCGCCGACATGCTCAACAACATGCAAGTGCCCCCAAACACACCGCCTTAACTGTGAGTGATGATGGTGGTCGGCACCTAAAACTCAATAACAGCCAATGGTTCTTTTTTGTTGGGGCTGTAACATTTATTCGTTGCTCGTAAGAGTTGTTTTAATTGCCATATCTGCAGTACTGCAAAGATACTTTTCTATCCAAGGTGTCTTATGCTGTGTTTTCTGGCTGGGAAAACCCTGTAAATCTGCTTAATTTGGGGTCCGGAGATGCTTTCTATTTAAGCTAACATTAACACTTTGTAGGTAACCCATATCGTCTCTGCAATTACAGCTTTTATTATCAGCCCAACAGTGCTTTCAATAGATAGAAGTAGCCTTAAGAAACAGTTTCAGTCCTTGTGCATTGTCATATTTGTGTGACCTCACATAGCTCACTTTTGGTTGCTGAATTCCACATGAGTTACTTGTTGGAGTTCCTTTGCACTTTTCCTTGTAGGACGCTGCATATTCCAATTTTTCAAGTTGCCTGGAATGCAGCATTGACACAAGCTTTATATTTACGTCCATAGAAAATGTTGAGAATGTTGCTGTGAGCCAAAGACTTGTCCGTCCTCCCTGCACGTCTGTCACAGCTGGGAGAAATACCACATATGTACATGTCTGTCCTGACATCTCAGAGAGTAGGGAGGGAGAGAAGGCAGCTTATACTGCAGCTCTCCTCATTCCCCCCAGTTACTAGTCTCCCAAACCCCCCACCACCGCCACCCACCCACCCACCCTGCAGAGGCCCTCGGGCTAGTC